GGATGGATGGATGGATAGATAGATAATAGATATGATAGAGGATGGATAGATATAGATGAGAGAGAGAGAGAAATATATGTACTATAAAACTTATACTATATAATCTCCTGAGGCATTGCCAGGACAAAACAGCTCAGCATATCGCATGGAGCCATGCTTGGAAATACCAACTATGCTTGGGGTTGATGCCACCTGTGGCATCCCCACTTAATTTAATAAAACAATCTGAAACACAACTAAAAACTGGTGGGACCGGAAGCCTTCAACGATTCCCAATATTTAGGAAAGGTTAAACGCGAAACTGCTTCATCCTGAGGCGTTCATTATTCAAGATCTGCTCACCACAGGGATCAAGGTGTCCTGATCCGATTCTACTTCTTCCTCCATCTTGCTTTGAATTGTGAAGAGTGGCACTTAACTCCCTTTCCTAGAAGAAGGGAAAGTGCAACCCATCAAAATGACCGACCGGTAACATTTTCAGAAGTTTGTTCCCAGGTGCTGTTGGAGGAACTTGTGTCCCATGGTCTCCTCGCCTCCTTCAAGGTGTCTTTCCATCGCAAACCTTCCATGGGACGCCATTGTGCCTTCCGCCATTTTTCCCACCCGTCACAAGAACGCGCTGCCATTTTGTTCTCTGTCCTTGGTACTTTGAGCCAAGAATCCCTTTTCTCAAATCTGGCAAAGTAACCTGCAGGCCTGCCAAACACTCTGGCCATATTCTGCCCTGAATTAAGAAGGGCATATTTCTATGTATAGGTGTCAAGACTGGCACACATGTTCCCAGTTTACTTGTTTCTGCATATTGCCATTTTCTTTCCTGGACCTGTGAAGGATGTGTGTACATAAGGTATGCTCTTACTTGTGGTTTTTACTTGTGTGTAGTGTGCACTGTGGACAGCACTTAAATTCCGTTGTGAGTTACAGAATGACAATAAAGATGTTCTATATTCTAGGGCAGGGGTAGGCAACCTTGGCTCTTTTATGACTGGTGGACTCCAACTCCCAGAATTCCTGAGCCAGCCACGCTGAGGGGAAAGGGAGAGGTTTCCAAGCCAAGCCATGGTGGCTCAGGAATTCTGGGAGTTGAAGTCCACAAGTCATAAAGCGGACTGGGCCTAGGCCAGAGATAGGCAACCTTGGCTCTTTTATGACTCGTGGACTTCAACTCCCAGAATTCCTGAGCCAGACACGCTGAGGGGAAAGGGAGAGGTTTCCAAGCTGAGCCATGCTGGCTCAGGAATTCTGGGAGTTGAAGTCCACAAGTCATAAAAGGGCCAGGTTTGAAGACCCCTGATCTAGGGAGAAAGCTACTTAAAACTACCTTTTGGATCAGAAGGCTGGGTTTTTCACCGGCTTTCAGTATAACTGGGAGAGCGCTTGACCGTCCTTTCCTAATTTTTTCAGACTTGTTACTAATCTTCTTTCTGGAGAAAGACCACAACAGAGAGGGAAATATGTTACAAACATTGAAGAAAATCTTATTTTTTTCAAAATGCAGGGTTAGGGTATTAGTTCCTCTAGCTGTAGCAGATGAGATGTCATGTCACATAAAAAAAAAAATCAAATGAATCAAGGAGCAACATTAAAGCATCATGAATAAAATATAGAATAGAACAGAACAGAAAAGAAAATGGAATAGAATAGATTAGAATAGAGTAGAATAGAAATACAAAATAGAATAGAATAGAAATACAGAATAGAATAGAATAGAATAGAATAGAATAGAATAGAATAGAATAGAATAGAATAGGATAGGATAGGATAGGATGGGATGGGATGGGATGGGATGGGATAGAATAGAATAGAATAAAGGGCTTGGGAATTGTGAGATGTGTTTGCCACGTGAACACATTAAACACATTGGCCACTTTAAGACTTGTGGACTTCAACTCCCAGAATTCCTCAGCCAGCGTGCCTGGCTGAGGAATTCTGGGAATTGAAGTCCACAAGTCAGCAAAGGGCCGAGTTTGAAGGCCCCTTCTTTAGAACATGGGATACTTTTTACCAATGGCTAGAAAAACGAGGTAGAGAGAAAGGAACTTAATGAGGACTTAATGCCTTGGCTGCCCTAAGAAAGGAGTCAAATAATCTGAAATGAATATTAAAACTTGGCCCTTTGATGACTTGTGTGGACTTCAGCTCCCAGAATTCCTCAGCCAGGCACACTGGCTGAGGAATTCTGGGAGTTGAAGTCCACAAGTCTTAAAGTGGCCAGGTTTGAAGACCCCTGCCCTAAACTATCCACCCTCATTTGAATTCCACTCCTGCCTTGTCAGGAATCGGCTCTCCCCACTCCTGCACCTCGCCAGCTATGGGATGCATCTCATAAAATACAATATTAAATATTATGCATCTCATAAAAGACAATATTAAGCCCCCAACAGGAAGGTCTTCATCGTCCTTGAAGGCTAGAACCCACCACATGGTCAACCACAGTGACCTTAAAGCCCAGGCCTTAGTGGCAAAGGTCCCCTCGGTGGTTCCTATATTTGGTTGACCTCTACGAAGGTGGAAGACTTCCCCACCTGGGCAGGACTGGCTGAGAAGGGATGAAGGGCGGCACCATAGAGTTCCTCATATTTTCCGAGCATTCTTCCATTGACCGCAGGACCGAGAGAAAAGTCTTCCACGAAATTTCCAAGGGGTCACCAACTTCCGCGGGGGGAGGCCCGGAAGGACTAGGACAAGCCACAGCACCGGGCTCCCGGTAGTCCCCCGTTTCCAACTTGTGCTCCGCGGCAGATCCCTGGATATTTTGCTCGGCGAGGGGCAATTTCTTTTTTTGTGGCTTTCCCATGGGTATTCCCCGAGACCTCCAGCTCCGCGGGTTGGCTACCGCTGGTGCCAGTCAAAACCGGTTGCCTCCCATTGCAGCCTCTCCCTCTTGTGAGCTCCCCCCTCCCCTAATATTTGCAGCATTCTGAGATAACAATGGCAGACAATGGGAGATGGCCAATGGAGTTTTGTAGGTGGCAAGGTCTGTGATGTAACCCTCCCGACTAGGAATGCCTGGGTGTGGACAATGCGGCTGCCGTAAAAGGCTGTGTTGTCCCAGAAGTTAGCCCCACTGAGCCTTTTGCCACCGGCTAATCTGCAAGAGCTACCGTTTCTCTGGCGTGCCTGAGCAGTAGGCCTTCCCCAGAGGGTGTTCTGTCCCAGCCCACGTTGAGTCCTCGCTACGCTCGCAAGGAGAAACCCCTCTTCCAATCAAGCAGGCAGAAACAGCAGGAAAACCCCAAACCCTTTAATTCACAGACCTGAATCAAACACAGTTCACAGCAACTCAATCCTTACGTAAACGGTTGCCTTTGGCAACCAGCACCTCCCACACCTTCCCTTTTATTATGCAGCCAAGGTGTGGCTTTCCTAACGCCTGCTCCTTTGCCTTTGGAGTCGCCCCATTGCATTCCTTTGTCCTGCTCTCTTTTCTTGCCGGCGTTTTCATGCATCCAGGATTTGTCCCAGCTGTTCTTCATCACTGTCCACCTCCCAGCCCAGCTGTGTCTCAGCCTGAGCGCGGGTAGAGGGGCCAGGCTCCTCATCAGACTGTAAGTCCTGGAGCTTCTCAGAGCCTTCCTCTGATTCCAATGTCATTCCAGGCTCTTCCTCCTCCTCCTCCTCCTCAGACTCAGCTGCCGGATCCACGGGCTGGCGAGGAATCACAACAGAGGGATCCAGCCCCTGTAATGGACGAAGGGACAAAGCTTCGGTGCGATTCGGC